AGCAGCAGCGGCAGCGGCAGCAGCGTCAGCTGCAAGTATTCACAAATACAAACCAGTTACCATCCCCTCAACAATCGCAAATCTTATGGTCTTAATGAACATGATGATGGCGGCGGTAGAAATGGCAGTTGTCCTGTCGTACAGTGAACGTCCTGTATAAGAAGCCACTGTTCAAGAACCTTAGCCCCTTCGTTGTGGCTTGGCTAGTTATGAAAAACCGGAAATACGAACCTCAGGGGGATAGGATTCTCATTTTGGAGGTTGGTGGCCAATGCATGCATGAGGATCAGCAACACTCTTTGGCCACTGCCTGCATAGCTCAGTCTCGGTGGTATTACGCCCGTCTCATTACGGGACTTGCGCTGGTTCACGCCCCGCTTGGAGCAAGCCCCAGTTAGTGTCAGACACCAACTGTAAAATGGAAAATGCTGGATTGCGCATGGGTACGCAGGATCGATGGGTACGCAGGGCGGAGGCGGGACAGGCAGAGGTGTGGGGTTTGGGGTCACTGGCCAATGCATTTATGACGAGGAGCAGTTATATTTGGCAATGCCTGCATAGTCCCAAGAGTATCGCGCCCGCCTCACATTCCGACGTGCGCTGGTTCAATTCCCGCTTGAAGCAAAAACGAATTAGTGTCACACACTAATTCGTTTTTGCCCGGGGCAGCGGCAGGCAGGGGTGGGGGTGGGGTTTTTGGCAGGCGTGGGGAAAAGCAAAAACAAATTAGCGGGCAGGGGGCCGGGGAGGGGGGGCGAGGCGGCAATCTTGCTTTTGTTGGTCAATTGGGCTGCTTTGGTGGGACGAAAACGCAGGCAAAGGCAAAAAAGAATTAGTGTCAGACACTAATTCGTTTTTGCCCCCCGGGGCAGCGGCAGCCAGGGGTGGCGTCGAGGGCAGGGGACTAGATACCGCGGCCATTCTGGCTCAAGGTACACGCTGTCCTAGATAAGAACACGATTAAGAACCTTACCCTCCCCTAACTACTCAGCCGGCAAAATCAGAGGTAATGGAAGATGGGTAGGCAACTCTCGCGAGATGGGGTTCTTATACAGGGTCTTCACTGTAGTCGTCGAAGTCGTCGCTGTCGGTCGTGGCGATAGCTACGATGGGGTGTGGGACAAAATTCTGACAAACACCTGAGGCTCGAAGTCTCGACAAAGCAAAGAGACTCTGTGCTGAAATGCAGCAGAAGTGCCGTAGTAAGGCCATTGAGAAGCCAAATCTAAGGCCGAATGCTTGCAGCCACCAGCTCCTTCCCACTCTTTAGGGTGTATAGGGTGTAGGGATATGTAGGGTTTAGGATGGAACCAAGCAGGTCAAATTCACAGCTCCGTGAGCCAGAAGGCTTCACAGGTGACATCTCGTGGAAAAACACATGTAATATATCTGTATATATATATAACATAGAACGTATTCAGTGTTTATGCCAGTGTGAGGCCCTTAACAGACACCTGCGAAGCGATCTGAAACCCTTACAGCTCCGCACAGGAGCTCGTAGCCACGCGCTGGCCAGCAAGAAAGCCACATAGAAAAAATGCAAGGCACACCTCATGGATTCAGTGCTTTTCGAGTTTATAGGTGGGGTTTAGGGGGGTTACGGTGGTTTTTAGGGGTCCGAGGGGCGGCACACCAGTCTAGCAACAGTCGACAAGCCCCGACACCTCATGCAGGCGATGGCCAACTCACCTGTCGCCATTGGGGTGCCCGTCGCTAAGCGCGCCAGCAAGCGCTGCAGTGGGGACAAAGCATGTAGCAACGACCATTCACCCTGGTAGTTGATGTTCTTGCGAATGTGGTAGGTCCAGAACCACATTTGGATACGCTCCTCCCTGGCTGCCCGGTTCTGAAAACGCAGAAAGGCATCTCGGAGGTCCATGAAGGTGAATGTGGCTGGTAGTCGAAGAGGCCTCTTCCCCACTCCGCTGGTGGTGGATAAACGAGTGTCCTGATTGGTGCTGGCGCTGTATTCCGAGCATGCCAGGAGCTGCGGCTCTGGCAGCTGCGCCCGTTCGCGCAGCTGCCGGAAGAAGGGCAAACCTAGACTGAACTTGATACGTACCCTTGTAAAAATCACAAACTTGGCTATTGTAGTAACCGAAAGAAGGAATTTACCATAATGTTGATCTATAGTAAATCGTATGGTTTCCTTATTCTGGCAGCTGGAATTCAACTCCTGAATAAGAACCCAGAAACTCATCTGCTCCAGCAGCCCCCTTTGCTGCTCAAGGGTTTCGATCTCCTCAAACTCTTTGGCCTTTGGGTCCCAGGCGATGTAGTTGTGCAAGTCCAGTACCTGAACCGCAGAAACCTATATAGCTTATACTTGTATGCAGTTGCTTTATACTGTATAGCTCTTTCATAGTAAGGAAGACGAAGAACTAGAAAGATGGGTTCTTCAGGATTAGGCACTGCCCAAGACTTGCGCTCTTCCAGGGTGGTGATGCCGCGCCACCAGGCTCCAATAGACCCGGTCACACAACCGATCTCCCCCTTCTGACTGGCGGCGAAGGCATGCACATCCTCTTTGTCGAAGGTTCCAGCGAAGGCTGTTTCGATGACCTTTGACAAACACAACAGAAAACTTGACCATAAAGTCCTATCGGATGCCCTTTCACCATAGCCGATAGCTTAGGACTGTGCCGAGTCTTCTATAAGATCAAGTCGCGTTCATGACCAGCATCTTCTTACCCATGTGCAGAGCCGGACGTTTTCGGAACTCCTCAACACCTGCAGACTTGTCAAAAGTGGATCGTGGTTTCAACTCTTCACTGAAGAAAGAGAGCACTCGGATAACAACGTAACTCTTCGCTTCAGCTCGTTAGCCAGGGCGCTAATTGCCAGGGTTGCCAAGATCTCTGCAGTCGACACATTTGCGGCCCAGTTTCCAGTGTCCGGCTGGCTGGATGCCTCCTCAGGTGGAGAGGAAACAACGTGTTGCTGCTGTGGTGGAGAGAGTCAGAATGTATCGATGAAAGCACTTTTCTTGTGCTTATTTCCGAAAAAGGCGGATTAGAGACAGTGGTGTTCACCCTGGCATCAAAGGACAACTTCTGACCTCCACTTACTGTAGCAGGTATCCGCATCGGTGCTAGTAGAACCAGTAATTGAAGTATCAATGTACCTCTCAGCAGAAATACTCGCAGAAAGCCCTAATGCTTCAGGCGACTCCGATAAGAATGGTCATCGCTGTGCTGTTCACCGCAACTATGAGAATGACATCCACATAGTTACATATATTTGCATATATATATATATATACACATATATATGTATATACACATGTATAATACAGATGACTGTGAGCGCATAGGCATGACTTTACGTTTAGGTGCTGCTCAAGCTTCTAGTGCTACAGGGGCCTTGACAATTTTGACAGGGTTCTGGGATTCATCCTAGGGCCCTAGAAGGGGATGGTATTGCTGTAGGTGGTTGTTGAAATGCCTACAGTAGAAGCCAGAAAGTTGGAACATCATTATCCTCATGCCCTTGAGGTACGGTATAGGGAATCCCAGCACGAATCATCCTAAATCCATGTTCCAACTTTCCGGTGTTCACTATATACACTGTCTGCCCTAAACCCTATAAACCCTAA